CTTAAGTGATCGCAAATCAAAAACATCACTTACCAAAACTCACGAATTGCATCATTCAATAACTGGAAATCAACCAAAAAATTACCAATTCATCGATAATTCGTTACAAATAATCACACTAATAATCCACAAGAATCTATCTAATAGCATTCGAACAGAACCACACTTTTTCTAATTTGTTACAGATATACTAAAAGGACCGAGCAGCATTTCTTCTAATTTGTATACCGGTTTAGATTCGCTACTGCGATGAACATTTAAAATTTGGCCAGGAATAACTGTAATATTTCGCTCTAGAAAGTTATCTTTTCGTGCATTGTTTCAATATGCAAATTATTCAAATGATAAGTCCTTAGTAGCAATTAAAATTAATATACAGCGTGGAAACGCAATTACCGTGTTGACTTTGAACAGTTCCTAATGATGGTTTTTTTTTCGTTGGTCTCTTGAAAAAGATTTCGATTCTTTATTGAAGTTTGGATTCGACGTTTCGGTCACACACATTCCCTTTCAACTTTTTCAAAACCAGAATGTACAAACTGTAAAATAATGATTGCGTTTTTTATTCTATAATGAGTTAAGTATATATCTATTTACGAAATACAGTGTGTATAAGCCAAATGGATTACATTCATTACTTCGGTTACGGTACATATTTCAACAAAATCCCGAAATACGTCAAATTTAATTTATAATTTGACATACTTCAACGGAAAAATACTACCCTTACCTTTAACCCCCGTCGAATGACAGGTACAACCCACAATTGTTTGAGTGGGAAGTACAGGCTTGTGATATATCGTTTCAAATGTCTCTTCCTTCTCTATTCAAAAATGGTATCGTTCTCAAATTTATTGTAATAATCGAGATAAAATAAATTAAAATCGTGTAGTTACCGGAATTCGATAAAATACACTCAGAACTCATTGCAAAATGTTCAAAACTCATTTCATGTTGAGGTATTGATAATAAGAAAGTGACCAAAAACCATAGCAATGTTCTTTTTAGATGGTATCCTTTGAAAAACTGTAAATAATTTTCGTGACAACGTTAATTTAAAATGCCTTGTCAACAGAGTTCGTTAACTCCAAGTCTGACAAATGGTTGGATTAACGGAAATGCATAAAATAACAGTTTTAGAAATGATTGGTTACAGAGATAAAACCCGAACAAAACAGGAAATAGCTCGCCAGTTTCATGAGAACTTTACTAATTTACAGTTCATATCTCAAGGAATAATAAGCAAAATAGAGAAGCAGTTTCGCGAGTTTGGTCACTACATTCTATGTTAGCCAAACATCGATAGTAAACACATTAAAAGAAAATAAAACGCATTCTTTTAAAATGATACCTACTCAGGGGCTCATGGAAGACGATTTTTATAGATAGAAGATTTTTTTGTGAGCAAATGATAGACATGTTGGATAACAATATCATTTAATTAGAAGACTTTATGTTTTCTGATGAGTGTACTTTGTCTCTTAACAGTCATGCTAATCGGCAAAATTGCCGCTACTGGTCAACGGAAAATCCTCACTGGAAGAGAGAACACACGCAATACCCTCAAAAGGTTAATGTTTGGGAAGAGATTGTCGGAAACCATATCATTGGTCCCTTTTTCATTGAGGGCAATTCGAATAGCGATAATTATTTAGCACTACTTCAAAATGATGTCATTCCAAGTTTAGCAAATTTATATCCTGATCCAGGAAACCCTCAAGTTCCAGTGAATACGATATGGTTTCAGCAAGATGAAGCACCACAATATTACCAAGTTAGGCAATACCTTGATACAACATTTCCCAATCGGTGGATAGGGAGGCGAGGATCGATTGAATGGCCAGCGCGATCACCTGATCTTTCATCATTATATTTTTTTTTATGGGAATATATGAAAAACAATGTGCTTCAGATTTGAATGACTTAAAAGAACGAATAACGATTGCAATTTTGGTCGGTCACGCCTGATATGTTAAATAATGTTAGAACACAATTTTATTTGACATTAGAATGTTGCCAAGACGTTCCTGGTGAACATTTTAAACATCTACTTCGTTCTTTTTCATATTCTACCTTTCATTACGTTTTGGAATACATTTCAGTTTTTGAGTGTATTTTCGGTAACCACATGATTTTAATTTATTTTCTCTTAATTGGGGGTTGTACGTGTCATTCGAAGGGGGTTGAAGGTAGGGGTGGCATTCTAACGTTGAAGAATGTCAAATTATAATTTACATTTGACGTGTTTCGGGATTTTTTCCAAATATGTACAGTAACCGAGATAATTAATTTATTTCATTTGGCTTTTACACACTGTATATGCACGCTAATGAACTATTTTTCCAAAGCGGAGTCCATCACTTAAATTTTATTGAATGCACGTATCTATAGTTGTCTTGTTTCCATTCATTAGTATGTTATTACTGTAATTGAGCTTTTTCAATCTGGCGAAAAACAACGTCGTCATTCCACCAAAAACCCCTATAACCAGAACATCCATTTTAACAGAGTCGTCTGGATAGAGTCTGCGGAATTCAAGGAGTAAATCTCTATATTGTTCTCCGTATACACCAGAGGAAGTCAAAGATCAGATTATTGGGCCAGTCATGCATTAAATTATCCTTGAGTAGACACAATAGTAAATTGATCTCTTTGACTCTTAGGTTGTTTTATTGCTGTATTGTTCCAATCAAAGTTAGCTTCGGCTGTTCGCTCCTGTGTAAGCTTTTTATAATTACGGACTAGAAGAACAGGGAGTTGGAAATTCTGATGACTAAAAACTCCAGCTAGAACTATTTTGTAATATAGACACTCCTAACTCAACAATCCACGATCTCCCAGTTGTAGAAGCAAGTATAATCGTGAAACAGATGATTTGGACACATTCTTTTCGTCTTCATATCGAGTTGGTGCCGGAGTTCTAGAGTCCATTTCACTTCACGAAGAATAAGGTGAGATCGGAAAATGAGAATGTTCTTAGCAACACTCTTTTTATTTATCGACAGTTAAGGCGATAGTTGCTGTGTAGTGAGCTCTCTACTGAGGTCAACGTTTATGGGCGATTCAGATGATTCAAGGTGTTTTCTTCCACGAACTGCACCTCCTCTTCGTGTTTTACGAGAATTTCAACGATGGCTTGTGTGTATTCTTCCAGCATGCACCCTTTATGATTCAAGTGAAAACGATCTTACCTCTCCAAAGCGTCATACCTTGCGATATTCGAATCAGGTCACGGAAAGTTAGGCTCCATCTGCGCCATTTGGGAAAAAAAATTAAATGGAAAGGGGGCCTTGTGACACATCTTTTTAAAGCTCCAGACAAATGCTTCACAACCCTAGAATATGAAGTCAATATCTTCAAGTAATACAAAATGGCGGAACTTTTAATAATTGCCTGAAAACATTGACATATGAACAGCTTATCCGATATTTCACGCCGAACATTTTCGAACACAGTAACGTCAATATCTCTACAAATATTTATTATTCTCTGCCGTATATTCAACATTGAAGCAGGTTCAGTTTCGTACACCTTTTGCTTCAAATAGCCCCATAAAAAAGTCCAAAGGTGTCAAATCTGGTAGCGGGCTGGCCATTCTGTAGGACCTCGACGGCCAATCCAACGACCGGGAGAAGAAGTATCCAAATAGTTTCTTACTTGTCTGAATTAATGTGGTGGTGCTCCATCTTGTTGGAATACAATATCCATATCGAATTCATTAGGATTCGCTTCGACGATTTCAGTGATGAGAGGGTCAACAGTGGTGTATTCAAATACAGTTCCCCTATTGAATTTTGATCAATAAATAGAGGTCCTTCAATATGGTTTTCCAATATTCCCAAAGTTCAATTTTTTGAGTTGAGCCTTTCAAAAAATAAAATGGGGGGCATTGAAGAAATGCACTGTATATTCGTAAAAATACTCGATCTACAAAAAGAGTACCGAGTTCACTATGTTATCAGCTGTAATCAAGCTGGAATTGATAAAAACCCGTTTTTTAACCAAAAATGCTGTATCTGTCTTTCGACAAACTACTTCAGTCATGTGATGAACTCATTATAACTAGTGGCCTAATTATTCCAATAGTCATACAACTCGTTAAGTAATTCAAATAGATCAAAACTAATGATAACAGATTTCATCTTGGTGAAGATTCTATACTAATAATAATAACAATAATAATAATCGTCTTTATTGTTACCCAGCTGTAGTTACATACAAATATTTAAATAAATTAGAGAGCTAGTTGCTGACATAACAAAAGGCGAAGTTCAACTCAGCACAAGTGCTACTGTGTTAAAGCTTAATGGTGGGTTTTTCAATTAGTGAGATGAAGCTTCGAGCTCACGAGGAATACTGTTATCACTAGTGATCTAATGACGTCATTACATCACTTATGTAGTAATGCAGCTCATTAAGTCATAAACATAGATCAAGACTAATGCAATTACTACTTGATGTAGTGAGAAGATGTGAGAATTAGTGAAAAGATGAGTTACCAGACTTCACGTACATGATTTATATATAAAATTCGTGATGCTTATTAATTTTTTTGAATGTTATTTCTAGTGAACTTATTTTGGAATTTTCGTTGAATAAGGATATATCTGTGGTTTGGAACGAGACAATTTTTATGTTTTTTTTTGGTTTCACTATTTTGAATATGATAAACTTTATACAGCTGAATTACTCTTCATGGGCATATTAATAAAAGTGAAGTTGATAGAAGAGTAGTATGAAACGTCGAGTACAAAAACCTGCAGTTTACCCGGCCAACAAACCTTTGACACAAAACTGTAAGCATTTTGAAATCAATGCATCAAACTTGAGTCCCAAGCTTTTAATTTTGATATTGACTGTTTTTGTTTCAAGCCACAGATATTTTCTTAAACGGTACCCCATGTAGAAACATAAAATTTTTAATGATTCACTCATGCCGAAGATGCTAGATAAAATAGCACAAGAACGAATCCTCGAGTCACCCCCAATCCTGCACCAACCTTTATCTCCGTCGTGCTCCTGACTGGCGCTGCACTCCCTGCAGACGGCCGTCCGCTGCTGCGCCCTCCGCATCTGCTTGTACGCCATCATCTCCTGACGCTCCTCCAGCTCCATATCCTTGTACCCCTCGGGCGGGCTCAGCGTGACGGCGTCGACGAACTCCATGGGCGGCGCGAACTTGGGGCTCTGCGGCTGGTGCTCGACGACCTCCTCGAAGACGGCGCAGTCGCAGTCCGGCTCGCAGCACGTCAGCCTCACCATCTCGTGCTGGTAGCACGTGCATACGCTGTCGTCGTCCTCGTCGTCGAACTCGCATTCCTCCCTTATGAGGATGATGTAGTCGGCGTCGAAGAATTCGTTCTTCGTTTCGTTGAAGACGACGCGGTTCGGCTTTTTGGTGCCGTCCCGCTTGCCCGTCTTCTTCAGCAACGACTTGAGGTTGTCCCCGTCGGGGTTGTGTTTGCTCTTTTCGCCGTCGGTGCCCATGGCCGAGGTCAGCGGGTCGTCGGGGGTTTTAGGAACAACGTTGGGCGGCACTCAGTTCCATAGCGCGAGGGCTCCGGGTAGCTGTGAAAGAAAATAAATCGTATTGAATTTTGAAGGGTTGATTCATGAAAGAGTGTCTCAGGAATCTATCACGGAACAATAAGTTGTTCCGGGATAGATTGTTTACAGATAATTTATCCGTCAGGCACAGTCACGAATAAGACGCAGCCATCTGTTTACCGTAGATGTATCAGTAAAGTAAATATCGAAAAAAATTGAACACGCTCTGAAATTGAATGGAATGTCTCAGCACTGAAGAGTTTGTCCATAACTTACTAGCGATTCAAAAAAACTATTTTGGAAAAAAATGACCAGGAAACCTCCAGTATCACAAAATATGCTGTAAACAACAAAAGGGCTAAACTGAGTTCATAAAAACATCTGATAATGTATCGAACAGTTCTTGGAAAGTCATAAACGAATGGCACAATTGCATTGGTAATATTGAAGATGATATTATCTCATCCTTGCCTGTCTCAGGAGAAAATCACATAATGTTGTAAAAGATATCTCAACCCACGATAATTCTTCTTTCTTCACTCCCCATGTGTGGACTATTATAAAGTAAATAGTTATATCAACAAAGATGTCCGTTTTATTCAGTTCATGTTTCATATCAGATATATTTCCAGATTATCTGAAGAGTTAAAAAATAACTCCAATTTGATTTGATACCCAATATCAATAATCCTTAAACTGGGCAAAATTCCGGAATTTCTCATGAAAAATAAACTGGTACCTAGTATATCTAGATTCCAAAAGAATCTTGGACGGTGCTCAATTTGGAATCATATCGGGAGTTTCTAATAACCGAACTTCTAATGGTAGTGATTGGCATAGTGGGGGAGAGAAGACAAACTGTTGCCATTACAATGTGTGACAAGGCCTTTAACTGAAGTTCTTGTCTTATTTTTTGGAAAAAAATGGAATCCCATGGTGTCAGAGGAATATATCTAAACCTGTACAACTCGTATTCAGTAGGCGTATTCAGAGTTGTCTATGATTACGCCTACTCATCTTTCATATACACAGTCATCACGGTGTCCCCCAAGGGTCAATATTTGGTCCCCTTTTATTTTTGATTTTTGTCAATGAATTTTTTTACAGAAATCCTATAAAATGTATCACTATGCTGATGTTCCCCTTCGATATTTACTGACAAAGATATGTCGAACTCCAACATGGTTTTTAGCAAATAAACTCAAGTTGAATGGTAACAGAATCAAAAGATAGTTTTTTTTCAAATTGCCATAAGTCAGCGGCAAAATACTCGGAGTCATTTTAGATAACGAAGTGTCATGGTCATGCACCTGTGTCGAAGGCTTTATAAATGTAGTTGCATCTTAGCTTTCAAACAACTATAGGATTCTTTGAACTTGTTTTGTTGAAAGCCTACTTTACAGTTTTTTATTCAAAATTCATCCTTCAGAAAGGTTGCAGATGGTTGCAGATGGTTACAGATCGTTATTTGTTAGAAATAAAGTGATCTCTTCACATTGCTCATATATTTTCTTTCGGAAATTCATAAAATCAAAAACGATTACCGTAGTACACAATCATAATACTGAAAAATGCAGTAACTTTATGGCAGAGTCTCCTAATCTGGATCCCTAAAATCAAATACCGGATGATATGAAGGATCTTTACTTGACCTTTCAAGAAGAAGCTCAGGCAATATCTTCTGCCATCGTTTCTATAGTGTTAACGAGTTTTTTGAAACTCAATTCACAGATTTATGATTTCTATATTTCCAGTTCTCAGACGAAAGTTTTTAATTTCATTGGCATTAGTTATCTTTTCACAGTTTTTTATCAGTCGTTTCATATGTAGGTATGTACGATTTTTCAACTTTATCCGTTCAACCATGAATAATGATTATATTGTAAACCATACCAAATGAATTCTATCTATCTCTACATTCCAAAAACTTGTTCCTTGCACTAGTTTGTACAGGCTTTCTGTTGGGTGTTTGTTATATTCTTTTGGAGATGGGTTGTTTAAAACTTGTTTGTCTCAGAAAAAAACCTTTGATAATGCTTTTCTCAGTGGGACGAGAAATATCACGTGACAGTGTATGTCACGTAGAACAGAACAACGTACTCTTGAAAATTCTATCTATCTTTCTACCTCTACTGCTAACGAATCAGAGGAATTTTTATTCTGCTTGTACAGAAAGCAGTATAGTTTCAAGGGCTTATTGACTTAATCATGTCATCCATTCCAACAACTTGTTCCTTGTACTATTTTGTACAGGCTTCCTGCTGGGTGTTTGTTATATTCTTCTGGAGATGGGTTGTTCAAAACTTGCCTGTCTTACAAAAAAACCTTTGACAATGCTTTCCTCAGTGTGACGAGAAATATCACGTGACAGTGTCTGTCACGTAGAACAGAACAACGTACTCTCAAAGCTAGCTTAGTTTTCATCGTTACTTCAATAATTCCTGTTCGGCCTCAAGAAAGCAATATGTACAATATTCATTGATTCAATTCATTTATTTATTCTTTTATATTTACTTCTTTCAAATTTAAGCATTTATCAATATCAGATCACACACACAAGGTTTTAGAGTTTTTGTGATTATCGTGAGTTTATTTTTTGTTTATGTATGCTGATATTACTTTTTTTATATGTAATCTCAAAAAATGAACATCAGTTCATGTTATTATTATTATCAAACTCTAAATAACTCTCTGTGAGTGAATATATATGAATTTGAATTAGTGTGAAATAAAGAATTTGCATTATTTTAATTTTGCTCAAGTTTTCAAACACAATCAAGTATTAATACTAAGCAAATTATAGACCAGTGCAAAATCCCGTTAGAAATACAAAAATGAGACAATATTAATAGCAACATTGAAATAATTAGAAAAGTTCAGGAAAAATAAATTCAAACCAAGGTACAAGGAATGAAATGAGGTAAATTTTAGGGATGAAAAATAGTTTTTTATTAATGCCACTGAAACTAGACTTTGTATTAAAAAAGTCTGATAGAAAAGTTATGGAAAATATAAAGATCTACAACTTTTGCATGAACCATTTTTCCACATAAACAGTTTCATCATTCTTGATGTTTTTCTCCTACAAAAAGTATTTGTTTTTTTGCAAAATCTGATAGAAAGTTTTTTTTTGTATTCTGAATATACTGTAATTCACTTGAATGGAATTATTCAGTACAATAATGTTTTATGATGTTGAACATGAAAAAATACCTGTTTTTCAGACTAAAATACTCAGTTCTGGCAAAAGTTTTTCCAAAATTAACAGTGGTATTTTTTATCGAACTATCTACTTTCAAATGGTGTGACAGAAAAGTAACATTATCTACAATGGAAAAATTTGTCAGAAAAAACGAATTAGGACTGCTTAGGACGAGACACGATTCCTCCCTAGAGTTTTACACAACTCAGAAAATAAAATCAAATTCCAGACTATTTAAACAGCGCGAAATTGCATACATTATACAAACTTAATCTCTTTTTCTGCAAGCAATTCTCTCCCACACCACACCCCCAACTCCCTTGGCTCCCTTACAAGAACCCACACACCTTCGAAATGAGCCGCACAGCGTTGCCACATGCGAAGTAATGTCTTTTAATTATATGAATTAGATTATAACTTATAGAGATAACGATTTTTTTGTTCATATTATGGGAAATACAAGGTCGCTGATATGTATGGAAACGGTCAAACGATCCATGCACCAGACACTTCAAGGTCACAACGCCTTGACTTCACTGCACAACAAAAAAAACTTCACCAAACAACAACCAATAAAAAAAGCAATTAATACGTCATAGTGGTGGGGGGAGGCCGAGAATCAGCTGTAAACAACTACTGGCCTTCTTACATGTCACTGTCATTTGAATCATCATATGCAGAGGCTCGGACTGTCGGGAGACAGTGTGTGTTGCCTCTGTTTGGATAATGATGAAACAGCAGAGAATGTACTTTGTGCCTGCCCGCTGGGGACCGAATCAGGTTTTTAGAGTTCGGCAGAGTCGTACTCTTATCATCTGACTTGAAAGACCACTCAACATACAAACTAATCGGTTTCGTTAAGCTGGGTTTATTTGGTCGACTGTGAATAGGTGTGAGTCACAATAAACCCTGGTGGGTTGCAGTGAAGGGTCGAATAGACCCACTCACTTTAGACCTAACCTAACCAGACCTAACCTAACCAAACCTAACCCGGCCTGCGTGTTTCACAGCAACAAAGTAGAATTCTTGCGTCGATTCATAACCATGGATGAAATATGGGTCCATCACTTCACACCCGAGACAAAAGAACAATCAAAACAGTGGACTTAACAGGAAGAACCGGCTCCGAAGATGGCGAAGACCGTTTCATCTGCGCGTGGGATAAATTTCAATGACTATCCTAAAAAAGGTAAAACTATCAACGTCGGGAAAAATGCGAACTTATTGCAAAGTTTGAGTGAAGAAATCAAGCACAATCGGCCGCATTTGACTAAGAAAAAAGTGTTGTTTCATCAAGACAATGTACCAGCTCACAAATACATTATCGTAATGGCCAAAATAAACGAATTACAGTTTGAATGGCTACCTCACGCACCCTTTTCGCCAGTCTACAGAGGAGGTGGATGTTGAGTTTACGTCTCCAATTGATCTCCCTGTAAATTTAGTTCAGGGGCGAGAGCTTCTCAACTCCACAACTCCTGATCCAATAACTGAACTAAAAAAAAATTTTTAGAGTTCGGCAGAGCCGTACTTTTACCTGAATCTAAGGCATCGTCAAGTGTAGCTGACGTGCAAAAACCCTCATATGGAAAGGTTGTCATGGATATCAAGATGGGAAACTTGCACCATGACTATCCGACTACCACATTAACGATGAAACAGCAGAGCATATACTTTGTGCCTGCCCCGCTGGGGACCCAATCAGGTTTTTAGAGTTTGGCAGAGCCGTACTTTTACCATCTGACCTGAAAGATTACTAAACATACAAACTAATCGGCATCGTGAAGAAGATGGGTTTATTTGGTAGCCAGATAAAAAA